TTAATTTTGAGCTGAGGCTTGAATGCAGAACCTGGTGCATACTAGATGGCGTGCTCTACCCCAGCCTAAAATCTGAAGGCCGGGGATGGCCTGTACTGATATTTGCCTGCTGCTGCTGGGCAGCTTTTGGAAGGGTTCAGAGAGTAAAATTCCGATCAGCTCATGCACTGACCAGAGAAGAGCCCAGGGCTGCCTGGTGACCTGGATGTTGCTATGGAAGGGACGCTTGGCGGTTGCTAGGCCCGGAGGAGGAGGAGACAGCGGGGCGGAGGCGGGGCTGGGCCAGCTCGAGGAAAGCGCCGCGCGCTCTCAGGAAGTCGTTCTGGGCCGCGCGTGGCGCGAGCGGAAGTGACGTCACCGGCACTCGGGGTCCAACGTGTTTCACGCAGGTCGCTTTCCCGGCCGGGAAGTTCTGAAGTGGTTCACTTTGCGTGTAGCAGAGCGGTGTGGGTACTGTCGCCAGGATGGTGAAGCCCAGGTACAAAGGACGGAGCACCATCAACCGGTCGGCAGCCAGCACCAACCCGGGTACGGCGGGTTGGGCGGAACTAGGCCGCGGGAACCTGGGGGAGGAAGGCCCGGCCTGTGCGGCGAGCCCGGGGTGTAGGCACCTACTCTCAAGTCGGGGTCGGGGGTGAGGGCGCGTCTCAGGCCCAGGCCTAGAGAACGGCAGGTAAAAAGTGAACTAGGATCCTGGAGTCCTGGCACACGCCTGTCATCCCAGCACTGGGGAAACTGAGGCAGGAGGATCGCGAGTTCGAGGTCACCCGGGCTACAGGCCACAGACTCTGAAAACACAAAGTGGAGTAGTTGACCCAGGGGACCTTTTACCCTTGACCATACCCTAGCTCTGACCATATAAGTGAGTGGTGAGCACTGGCCCTTGGAATCAGATGATGTATAGGCAACCCTGTAGGTAAATATGATTTCAGTACAGGTGTTTAACACTGGTGAGTCAGAGCAGTCAGCCTGGTCAACATAGTGAGACTGTCTCAAAGAAAAACACACACACAAAAACTTGAGATATGCTCTTGTCTCCATGGAGCTGCAAGGATAGCTGATCTCAGTGTTTTTTTTTTTAATTTGCATAATTAAGTTTTTAATTAGATTTATAAAAACACTCAAGGAGGCTGGAGAGACCACTGGGAGATTAAGAGCTCACTCACACTGTTCTTGCAGGAGTTCAATTCTCAGTGTTCAAGTCTCAGCACCCAGGTCAATTGTCTCTCGACTACCTGTAACTCCAGCTCCAAGGGGTTTCCAAGGTGATGCCTCCGGCCTTCAAGGCAGCTATGCTGACATACATCCATATAATTAAAAACAAAACAACAAACAAATCTCAGGCACACTGTTTAGGTAGCAATGCTAAATGAGACGATACCAAAATTTAAAAGTTGCTGCATTATTTTGCTATCTTGCATAACAGTATTTAGTCATATAATACCATTTATTTGGAAAATATACTTAGGATTGGTTGGTAATTAGTTTGATGTTTTTAAGCGGAGTTTAAGTTTATCAGCAGTTTTAAAATGCAGATGTAAGTTTTGGGGATTAGTAGAAAGAGATAGTCAGGAAAAGGACACAGGTGTGCGTGTATTTCTCAATGAAGAGTTCCAGTAATTTAGTTTTATTTTGTGTTTTAAAATTTAGATTATGAGGGGCTGGAAAGATGGTTTAGGGGTTAAGAGTGCTGGCTGCTCTTGCAGAGGACCTGGGTGTGATTTCCAGCACCCATGGTGCTGACAGCCTTCTGTAACTCCAGTTCCAAGGGATCTAATACCGGATATTCTGTGCATTTGTTACACAGACATTTGGTCAGGATACCCATACATAAAATATAAATAAATAGAATTATTAAAAATTTAGAATAGGAGAACTAGTTATGAGTTCACAAAGAGGGTTTCTAGATATGCTGCTTCTAAACTTAGAAGCTTCAGGTATCAGCATATAAGCCATAATTTGTGTGGAATTTAACTCAATTTTTAAAAAACATCATTTCTTCAAAGTCAAAACGACAAATAGTTTCTTTTTTTAAATTTATTTGTTTTTATTTTATGAGCATTGGTGTTTTGGCTGCATGTATGTCTGTGTGAGGGTATCAGATCTTAGAGTTACAGACAGTTGTGAACTGCCATGTGAGTGCTGGGAATTGAACCTGGGTCCTCTAGAAGAGCAGTCAGTGCTCTTAACCACCGAGCCATCTCTCCAGTCCTAATAGTTGCTTTAAAAATACTTATGTACACTCTCTCTGTACTTTCCCTCCACGCGGCCTCTCTGTCTCCCTCTGCGTCTCTCTTTCTCTCTCTCTATCTATCTCTCTCCTTTTCCTAATAAAGCTTTAAAAAGGTAAAAAAAAAAAAAAAAAAAAAAAAACCTTATTTACACTGGGCAGTGGTGGCACGCCTTTAAGCCCAGCATTTGGGAGGCAGAAGCGGGTGAATCTCTTGAGTTCCAGGGCAGCTTGGTCTACAGAGCGAATTCCAGGACAGCACAGCCAGTGCTACACAGAGAAACTGTCTCAAAAAAATAAATAAATAGAAAGAAAAATTATTTACTTTATGTATGAGTTTTGCCTACATATACCTGTAACACCTTGTTTATCCCTATAGATGCTTGTGGGTACTGGGAACTAAACCCAGGTCCTATGCAAAAAATATCAAATTCTCTTAACTGCTGAACTCTCTCTCTCTGACCTAGCTCCTTTATTTATTTATTTATTTTTAGACAGAATCTCTGTGCATCATCACTGACTCACTGTGTAGCCAAGGATGTCTCTGAACGATTAGTTCACCTCGTTTCCTAGTGCTGGAATTCCAGGCTGTGCCACAATGGCCGGTTTGTGCAGTACTAGGGATCAAACCCAGGGCTTTGTGTGTGCTAGGCAACCATTTTACCAGTTGAGCTACATATCTGTTGTGGACATGGTAGTGTTTGGTCAGACTTGTTAAAGGTGGGTACTGACTTTATGCCACCAATGTAGAGTGTGATTGAGAATCAAACGGCTGCCAGGGCATGCTGGTGCACACCTTTGATCTCAGCACTCAGCAGCAGCAAGCAGATCTCTGTGAGTTGAAGGTCAGCCAGTGTTAAATTGTGAGACCCTGTCTCAAACACTCTTATTAAGAAGACAGAGGGTCTGGAGAGTGCATGCTAACCGTGTCTCAAAAAACCAAATCAAATGGCCAACACAATCAGTTCCTCCCACAGTGGTGCTTCCCAAGTTCTTGTCAATTTTTTCATTTTCACTTACATATTCTTTTCTTTAGAGAAATTTTAAAAAAATTCTGGAAAAAATAGTTTGTATAGAGCTGGATGAGAGCTTTGATGTTTGATAGTCCCTTTTATCACAGATGTTTTCTTTATTCTGGGGCAAGGCAAGGTAAAACAGAGGAATGAAATTCCCAGATTGAAGTCGTGAGTTATGAAGTGTCTAGATGTGTGTGCCTGAGCATGCTGTAAGGTTGCCTGGTGCGGCTGCTCTATGCTGCTGCTCATTTGGTCCTCGAGGTCCTTATTTAAGAGAGGTGGAGCTGAGGGTTATGGCGCACGCTTTTAATCCCAGCAGAGGAGGCAGAGGCAGGAGGATCTCTGTGATGTTGAGACCAGCCTAGTCTACAGAGTTCCAGGACAGAGAAGCCCAGTCTTGAAAAAAAAGGGGGCAGGGGAGGTCTAGGGGTCTGGTAGTACACTATTTTAATCCCTGTACTTGAGAGACAGAGGCAGGCTGATCTCCATGAGTTTGAGGCCAGCGAGGCTACATTGTGAGACCCTGTTTCAAACAATCAAAAAGACAGAGGGTCTGAAGAATGCATGCTAGCTGCAAGACAATCCTTTGAGGATTGGCTCTGTGTAGTTTTTTGTTCTTTTTCTTTTTTCAGTTTTGCCAATATTGCAACTCTATTTTCTAAAATTATTTTATGTGTATTTGTGTTTTGCCTGTGTGTGTGTATGTGTGTGTGTATACATATACATACACACACAAATATATAATCATTGTGTGCCTGGTGCTTACAGAAGCCAGAAGAGGGTGTTGGATCCCCTAGAACTGGAGTTACAGACAGTGTCAATTGTCACTTGGGTGTTGGGAACTGAACCCTAGTCCTATGTAAGAAAAGCCAGTGTTCTTAACTATGAGACATCTTCCTTATTGTTCTGTTGTTGTTCTGTTTTATTTATTTATTAAACTGAGACCTAGATTGGTATCCTTTGTGATTGAGAACACAGACTGTGATCAAATGCTTGTGTTTAAATTCTGTCTCTGCCGATTAGCAACCATATGACTCTGGCACAATATGACCACTCAGTGTGTCTCAGTTTCTTAGTCTGTAGCACATAACGTAGGCATATATGACTGTTGTGTGAATTGAGATGGTGCCGGTGCTGGAGTTTAGAACTGGTGATGTTAGCATCCCGTTGTCAATCCCATTCTTTTGGAAGTTGGGTGGGGGACTCCAGCTTTGTCATAGCACATTCTCATAGTCATTTGTTGGAGCAGCATATGGAGAGAGCAGACATTCTTTGGTTAACTTGGCTAGTTGAGTAAGCTGGTTGGTGCATTTTAAACAGTGACCGTACTTACCAATTGTTGATTATCAAATGGTTTATTGTCTGTTTCTAGATCGAGTACAGGGAGCTGGAGGCCAAAACATGCGGGACCGGGCCACAATTCGGCGCCTGAATATGTACAGGCAAAAGGAGCGCAGGTGAGTGTTGGACACAGCCAGCCTTCCCTTTCCTTCATGCCCTGGATTTAAAACTGAGACTTGGTTATTCCTTGTTCCCACCCCCACTTTCTCCCAGTGGGAGTAGGATGCCATTTCCTCTGTGGTAATACAGCGAATGCAGTTCAAGGCTGGCCAGTAGATGGTGAAGCAGTGAGTGTTCCCTAACACTTCCCAGCAAGTGATCATCCTATTTCGCACACACTGATCTCCAACAGTGTCCTGTCAAACTCAATTAAATCCCCATCAGAGTCAAGTACAAAGTGTATAGACCACTTATGAAAACTGCCAGGAAACTTGACTTTGAGAGCCAGACTTCAGATCACAGCTTTGTGGCACTAGGATGCTCATCACAGCCCAGAGTTCTGCTGAGGCAGCCTCCACTCCAGGGACTTGCTTCGAGTGGCATTTTGCTAGCTGGTTTTAATTTGTTTGGTAATTAGATTCATTTCTTCTAAAAGTTGTGTGTAAAACACAAACGTCAGTAACCTAACCTGCCTTGGTCGCCTACTTTGCAGTTTGTTTTAGAATTTTGAGTTCCAGGATAAATCACCCTCTACTTAAAATTCATTTAAACCAGCCTTTAAATAATTACCAAAAAAAC